TATATCTTTTAATGCTTTTGAATTTTTGTGATGCCAATTAGCTTTTATTTTTGGTTTGACCGGAATAGGCTTTCTCTTTCTTCTCCTGTCTTTTCATTCAAACATAAAGTATTTATTTACTTATAGTTGGAAAATATTTTACATACAATTGTAATTATTTATTGATTAATTTCAACAATTAAAATATCTTATTAATTTTTACATACTATAAATAAATTCTTTTTTTATTTTCTTTAAGAGACTACAAGAAAAATCAACTCTTCTTTCATAATTTTTTTTTTAATTTTCTTATTTGTGATTGGACTATTCATAGTATAATATATAAAACTCTTACAAATTGTTGTTTGTTTGACTAAAATTAAGTGAATTATCTATATTTATATATGTATTTTTATAATGTAAATATAAATTATAAGATTATAGTCCACTAATAAGCAAATGTCATTGAGAATTTATTCTCAAAATATTTGAAATTATATATTGGGAGCGTCCATTAACTATGTTTAGAAAAAGGATTAATCTTAAAATACGTAAAAGTTTATTCGAAAGTACTTTTACAGCTGAAAAAAAATATAACTTACATATATGAAATTTTTTTCCTCATGAATTTGAATATGGAGATCAAACTTAAGGTGGTAGAATTAAGTATTATTGTTTATGTAAATATAAAATGGGTATATATGTCCTTTCGTTGCAGTTGGACCTTTCTTTTCATTTGATAGAAGATTGACGGTGCTTCTTCAAAGTTTTCCACTTGTAAAGTCATACCTTTTTTTAATTATTATTATTAAAATAAAACAACCTTGTTTTAACATTAATTTGAATCCTTGACTAAGTAGAACTAAGTTGTTACATTAATTGAAAACTATAATTTATGCAAATGACATGAAATTTCTTCGTCTATTTCAATGTACTTAAAATAATAAATAAAAGATGTTATTAAATGATCTCGTAGCTTCAATTAATGTTAGTAATTGACTCCATTGACTAAGGTTATAATTCCAAAATATTCTTCACCAAGTGTTGATTTTTATTAATACAAAAAATAATGTACTATCATTTTCGTTATTTAGAGTATTTGTTATATAATTTCTAGAGTACAATGCGATCAAAACCCGTCACTTATCATGAAATTTTAGTATAAAAAATTTGTTTGTAAATCATTTTTTTCTTAATTTATATTAATAATCACGATATTTTTTAAGATAATTTTGGCGTACAAAATCTAAATTTCTTTATAACTAAATTTTAAAAAATCATTTACATCCAAATTAATGCATTCATCATAAGTTTCTTTTGATCTAGAATTATCAACGAACCCACGTTCTTTCTTTGTGAGAGAATTATTGAAAGATATGATCGATCATTTCTTTCTTTGTGAGGGAATTATTGAAAGATATGATCAATCATTGTCTCCATTATTGATTGATGATCTCCCATGAAGAGAGGATGGCTTGCATGCATGGTTTACCCTAGCTACTTGAAAATGAGAGATAAATTGAATATCCTTTTGTTTTGCCTAACTTCAATTTATTCATTGGTTCTTAATTTATCGGAAGACAACTGTCATTGTCTCCATTATCAACTCCACCAATTAATGATTCCCAAAAGAAAGCAAAACTTAGATGGTTGCCCTAATTTAAAATGAGATAGAAATCAAAAAATGAAGATAAAATGGAATAATAGTAAAAGAAAATGGTAAATAAGTGAAGACAAAACGTCTGAATATAATCCAAAATCTTAAGAGATACTACAATCTTCTGTATGTGATACTATGAGAGAAATGCACATGCACGTTATTCTATATATGTATGGTTACAAGATTTGGCATTTAAATTGCTAGTTAATTACTCGCAGCTCATAAAATAGTTAGAAAAGGGCTATTAAGATATGACAAAATGAGCACTGTGAACACGTTGATGTGATCAGACTGATCTCCAAAGATGTTGTATATATAATTTCATCACATTTTTATTATTACTAGTTAATCGTTTACTTGTAGATGAGATTTAGAATTCAATATTTATGATCAATATTTTTAAAATTTATTTTTAAAATATCTGAATTCGTATGTTAAAGAATATTTTTTAACTACGTCTAAATTAATCTCGAAATATACAAAACCTTATCCAAAAACATTTTTATTGCTAAACCTTAAAAAAAAAAAAGTATATGGTTACAAGATTTGGAATTTAAAGTGCTGCTTCTCACAAAGAAGCAGCTAAAACCATGAATTGGGAGACGTAAACAAGTAAAACAATCATATGGATACAACACAATAGTTAATAGATTTCGATTCTCTCATGTTCTCAAGATATATTATGATCTCTACTTTTTAAATTTTCATTTATTTTGTGAATTCAATGATCTGTAATTAATAATATTTAATAAAGAAAAAAAACATAATTACATAAATTACGTTGTTATCATTTTTTTAATGTATATTAAAATTATGTCCACTCATTTTAAATTTAAGGAATATATATGATGAAACATAAGATAATCTAATCTCAAATTAAAAACATATATATATATATATATATATATATATATATATATATATTTTTGTATATTTAGATAATATTAATAACTTGAGTCAATTTCTAGATGAACTAAATTTTAAGCTATTTGCATTGAACGACAATTAATTTTTCATATATAAAAAGAGATTTTAGGGTTTGAATATTAGACCTTTCAATTATATCATACCTAAGAACTTGAAACTCTAGGCAAATAGGACCAAAACAATATTAATATCTTAATACTAGTCTCCCAAGAGGGAGCAAACTGTGTCTCCATTTGACAAAGAATCGGGAGATCATAGCACCACAACCACTAGTTCTCTTCCATAGAAACATAAAATAATGGATTGATAAAGAAATTATAGAAGAACGAGCGGTAGAGATAGCATGATTGAGGTTGAATAATGTGATAAATAACTCATTCCATATTTTCTAACTCTTTGAAATTCCTTGAATTTGACCTATATATTAGGAGTTATTGCCCATGAAACTTCCTTTTCACCATTAATTAACTTGAAGGTGTCTTTGTTTTCATGTGTTTTGATTGACAGATGTGTTTAATATTATTGCTAACCCTAAGATTCTCCGCCTTTATTAGTAGCTTGGCAACTCTTCTTTGCATGGTGTCTTCAACGAAGAGACGTGGTATTTAGCATCAACTAATCAGAACATAAATCATGCTGAGTTTCGTTAGGATTCCATACAATTATTTAGCATCTAGTGATAAACTAACTATTAGATTATTGTTAGGTGCCTTCTTAAGTTAATATTAATCAGAAGTTCGAAACATCTTATTCAACGAGTTCATATACAATTTTATGTTTAGTCATATCGTTGTTAATTTGTTGAGTTGTTTAAAATTCGATTAGCTTCGTCGTTTGTTATTCTTTTTTATATGTAATGTAAGTTTATGAATTTTATATAGTTGAAAATACAAAATACATCAATTTGATGTTTTTTCAATTCAATTCCCTGACCACATATTCAACTACATTGCAAGACACATGATTATTCTTTATAATAGATATGTTGTTCCTTGACATTTTTTTTATTCCCATCGTTTCTCATGAAACAACATTTAATAATAAAGTCAATAATCAATTGAAGTGTGTTTATATTATATCATTAGGTAGTGATTTGCAGTTGATTTAGGACTCCATAACCAAGAAATTTCGATTGATCAATTATTGAGAATTTTTTTTTATGGAAAGTGACTGATAACGGTGGACCGACTGGCCCAAATGATTGTTGGACACCAATAATGGGGAGGGAGATCGATTAGTTATAACAAATAATCAATAATGTATTAAAAAAAAAGATGATATTTAAATGAAAACCAGCTGTAAAAGTTTTTTTAATAATTGCATAAATGAAAATAATGAAAAAAGAAACCCTGAGATCGATCATGTATTACACACACGATAAATATTAATTTCTGATCAAATGCATCATTTGAATCATGCATGTCTGTTGGTTTTCAAAAGCTAGCCCTGAGATCGATCATCAAGATGAAAACACTGCATGGTAGCCTAGTTGAGTTATTTTCTTGCTTTGGTAGACTGAAAATTAGGAGACTATGCATCAGGAAGAAGAAAAAAGGGTTTTTAGGAGTTGTTTAGCAACGTTTTTGTTTTTGTTCAAATTTTTTTAAAACAAAATATGAAAATTTTGATTTTTTTTTTAAAGAAATTGGAAACAAGTTTTGAAACCTTTTCTAAGAAAAAAATATTTTTCAAAACTAGTTTTTTACGCTATCACCGTATGTATGGGAATTAGGTCAGACGTGAGAGTTGGAAAATGGCTATGATCTTATGGATCGTGCAAGATCAAGGATTCAGACCAATAGCTATAGTTCGAGATGCTCAGAATTCGGATCGAGACCTGATCGGAGGTGCCCAAGATTCAGAACAGGACTTGATCCGAGCTGTTATGCTAACCATTTTCACTGAATCAATAAAACAAGTAACAAAACATTTGCTTGGCGGCCAAAGCATGGATTGAACAATAGATTCTAAAAGTAAATGAAAGAAAATGAAGACATTATGCAAAGTAAATCAACAACAGAGCTTGATGCTGGTAAAACTTGACTCTGGTCAAGTGTGAGCTTCTTTAGAGTTCAAACATCCGAAGATTATACAGCCATAACAGTAAAACCAAAAAAACTCGGGATCATTTTCTGATCCAGTTACGGAACATCTCCAGTTATGGCAAAAAGAAGCATCTACATTTTGGATCAGCTTTACAAGACCAAAAAAACAAAAAAAAACAAAAAACTTACCTATGTTGGTGTATGTTGAACTGTTTCCACAAGCAAACTTATTAAATTTTGCAGGATAACGACAGTATTAGCTGCTTTGGCTGCCTATGTACCCACAATCATGTATCATCTCAGAAACGTTCTTCAGTTTCCATCATCTCACTTCTCTTAGCTTTTGAAGCATCCTCCCCCATGAGATCTGCATGGATTTGTGATGAATTCTAAGCCATTTCTTCCTCAGCCTTTCTACCAGTTGCCACCAGTTCTGCCTCACTGGCTTCTGAAATAACCTGGAGAAATTCCACAGGGACAGCCGCTGGGTCTAATTCCAGACAACCCTTTGGAGCGTTATGAGCTTCTTTGCCAGTAAGCACATGATTCGGGACCTGATGAGAGAAGCGGAACATCTCTTCTTTTGGAATCCTCCTAACTTGTTTTGAACCTACATGTCTACAAAAAACTGCCTTGAAACCAGCGACCTTAATAAGAGGAACGACAGATATGCCCTGTTCTTCATCATAGTCATTGAGCACTTCTACCATCTCATATTCCTGTACCAATTCATCTGGGGTATCCTCATTCCAGTCTGGAGACCAGTTTCTATATAGAGCCCAGACATCTCCCTTTCTAGGTAATATGCGAACAACTCCTCGGGTGCCTTTTGTCCATGTAACCCTATGTGAGAAAGAGTTTAAAGTTTTGCTGATTTCATGTCTGCCAGTATGGAAATCACCACAAGTTTTTAGGAAACCAGACCCCACCCAGTCTAGAGGACCAAATTCTCTGCTGGTTCTTGAGTTAAGCCAACTGATCTTCATCTTAAATGGTTTCAAAGAGATCACTGAGTGAATTCGAGCATAATATCGTGGCATCCCATCATTTTCATCATAGGCAGCCCAGACCTGGTCATCCCCAAAGGAACTTTCTGTTCGATCCAAGTCAAAGTTATGAAAATCAGGATCCGGAACATTGATTGACAAAGGTGCTGATGCCTGCTTAGTAGATTCATTGGAAGAAGTGCCAGCAGAGTCAACATTCTTCTTATGTTTTTTTGCATCACTGTTCACCATGATTTCCTGTGTTTTAGTTTCTTTCAGTTTCACTGGATTTGAGCTCCATTCTTTAAGTTTTCCACGGACATCCAAGAGTCCCTTCCCCATCAACATGTTTCGAACCTCGAGAAGGGACAAATCTCGCACGGTCATGGACTTGGTATGAATATCTGAGAAGCCATAAACCCTTTGTGCTTCAAAATAGCTCCTCCTTGGTTCAGATGAATTCCCCAATCCTCCTCCACCATTTCCTGTGGCTGCTCGATTCAAAATATCAGCTCCATAATTGTTCATGCTGGTTTCATCAGATCTCTTCCTCTTAGAGAGCTGGTCTACTCTAAGAGCAGAATTATTCATCCTTTTATAACGCTTCTCCCATTCAGTGGCTGCCCGTGCATCCTCCTGCTCTCTCCTCACTTGGTCATGTGCCTTCTGAACCACTCTCTCAGCATGACTAGCAGTTGATGGTGCCGCAACTTTGCCTCCAGCACCGTTCATTCTAGCATAATTATCCCATTGATGGTTTGGGCCATTAGTTGAATTGCGTACTCCAAACCCCTCAGATCCTGTGCTTTGACCACCATTTCTTTGGGAATTAAATGGATTGCTATTTGCAGCATGAGGTCTTGAATTCTGGGATGACTTCGTAACGTTTGAAGGTGGATCCTTCTCAACAGCCAAGAAAGGCTGATGACAGTTGGGGCATAGCAGATTGTGATTCAGATAAACCCTCAGATACTCATAATGCATCATACATCGATTGCAGATAGTCCAAAATGTATCAGGTTTTCGAGATGAAGGAGAAGGGACTGGGGTGGGCCTCGACTGCATATTCTTGTTCTGAGTCCTTGTTTGTGAAGTTGCAGTGCTGTTTTGATTATGAAAGCCATTTGCACTGTGTTGGGCAGAGGAAAACTTAGACTGGGTCGATACTCTCTGTTGCCGTCCGGCTGGATTCAGTTTCTGATTGTATGCTAGTCTCTTTTCCTTATCAGATAACAAACCCCAGGCCTCTGAAACCAGCTTAAATGCACCGTCTGCACCCAGAGATTTGTTTTTATCAGGATGGAGCATGAGAGCTAGCTTGTGGTATTGTTTCCTGACTGTCTCATCGTCAGCCCAGGGGTTCACACCAAGCACGCAGTACCAATCAACTTCTCCACTACTTATTCTGTTCTCTGCAGAAACATGCACATCAAATGCTGTCAGCATTTGGGATAAACCTTCAAGCTCGGGATACAAGCTTTGAGCCTTTAAAGCAAATTTCTTTGCCCCAGCAAAATCCCTCCCCATAAACTTCTTCTCAGCAATTTCCTTAGCCCTGACAGCTTCATCTTTATTGCACTCCATAATATCTGTATATCCAAGAAGATAGCCCTCTTCTTGTGGCTATATTAATGTTTCTAAGATTTCAACCACAAGTACCCTGTTCCACAGCTCCAGGTTCTTCAATTTTTCAAGACAATACCTTCAATTCTGACATCTGTTCAATGTAAAAGAAAGTAGAACTAAAATCAATGTCAAATAGATCCTAATGTAAGTTATCATAACCTTATAATTACAAAAGACAACATGATATTCATACAAATGACAACACTGTTTAAATTTCTTATTCCTTTCCGGAAAAATAATTCTTATAGAAATCGCATAATTCTTTATTTGACTCCAGAATGTGTAATGTTTATTCAAACTAACTAGGAGAAATTTTCAATATTTGACATAACAAAAAGCTTAAGTTTCTTCTAATATGAGCAACAAATGTCAGTAAAACCAGCAGCCCAACATGCGATACATTAATGAAATAAGAAATGCAAATGGACCACTCATCATGTAATATTATTCCCTGGTACCTATAAACATAGAGACATATGAATTACTCCATAATGGAATATTTGACCTGTACACATGGATGCATATGAATTACTTCATATTTGAATGGGTAAGTAATCTATTTCCTATCAAAAGAAGCCATAATCCCTTGCAGTAACTTCTTTTGTATCCTCCCACCTGGCGCCTAACAGTGAATCTCTCGTTTCAAGCCCACAATGGGGTTGGATGCCATTTTAAGGATATGCATAATGGTGGAAAAACATTCAATAGCTTAACATATATATGATGTCAAAAAATTAAAGGTTGGGAAAAAAATGATATAGCACCATAATAGACATCAATTAATTCATGAAACTAAATATATACAAATGCCCGCCTACCGGCATTGCGTGCCTTCTGCTCCTATCAGTTACAAATGGAAATCATACATGCACATTTACAAAAGCACGCATGCAAGAGTTATCATACACTTTCAAAGAAAGGCAGGCAGGAACTCCACCTACAGAATATAATCATGATACTTGAAGATTTTTTGAAAGTCTCTAGTAAACGGTAACAAAGACACACACACACATACAAACAAACATGGATATTGCAATTAGAATAAAGTATAAGTAATTGGACAAAACAGCTTCCCATGCCTAGACACATGAATACCTGTACGTGTCTTTCAACAAATATCCCAAAATGGAGAGTGTGGGTTTATGACTTTCTATAAGAGAAATATGGGAATTCATTTTTCTCCTTAAAGACACCGAAACAATGATCCGTTAGGATTACACTTGACCTCGTACAGGTGCTTGTACGCCCTGTGTCCCCTACTAGCTTCTGCCCAAACTATTCCATTTTTTCCTTCCCAACATATAGGTCTTCTCCCTAGGCACTAACCAAGAAGACCCAGTAATGATCCAGTGACTCATCCAACCTACACATAAAGTTTCAATCGGGCATGAATAGGTTTTGTTTTTCCTTTTAATTACAAGTAGCAAGACTTGGCACCCTACCATATATAGGCTTGGTGAGTGCTGATATCAGCAAAAAGAGTGAATACAATTCTCTAAACAAGCTTACGTAATATCCAACAAATAAATGAAGTACAAACACTAATTATTTTGTGAGTTAAAAACTACAGTCAAATTATTACCGTTTGGCACTCCTAAACATTATGAGATAAGAGGACATATTTGGGAGGTTAACACCCAATTTATGTATTCTATTGTACACAATGCCTATATCATGTTGACATAACCGGCACTTGGCAACTGTGTGACGCGCCAAGGTAATGGCATGTTTCTACCTTCCTTCCCTTGCAATTCTAAAACATTATAGACATGGAAAGGCAACATAATCAATATATATAACATATTTCTACTTAAGTAATGAAAAGCCAGTTAATAAGGAATGAGTTCTTGGTGTATCAAGCCTCACAAACAAGAGCTACACCTTATGCATGTTAAATCATAAAATTGAAATCCAGGTAAACATATTTACATACAAATGTGAACAAAATATTTTTTTATTCTTATTTCTCTTCCTCTTCCATCCTTAAAGATTCCAAGCACGTAATGTTTGACTTGAGAAGGGAAAATAAATTCAGCTTTTAATATAAATAAGTAGTTTCTTACAACATTTGTTGTTACAATAGTTTTTCCATATCTCAACAAAAACCAGTTTTCTTCTCATCAACTAAATAATAAATGTGCCTTTCAGCTGGGAGTCAGATTTTCCAATTTAGTTTTTTTCCCTTTGTTCCTCTCAATTTCCATATTCAGAGAAACCATTTATCTAGAAAAGTCTCATTGATGGTTGTTTCAAGATTCTTTCAAGTTCAGATGATAAAATTTAAAAACTGTTTTCCCATTAAGGATCAATGATTGGACAAAAACCTATGACACCTTCAGTTTACTTGGAATAAAATGCTTTTCTTTAGCTTTCAGAGTATTGAATTTGAAATCTCACATTTAGAGGAGGCAAAATGAAATAAAAAATAGCTTCAAAAGGTACCGTCAACACAAGGAAAAGAAATATGTACAAAATGATCAAACTTAGTATATATATAAATATGATTCTTAATACCTATAAAAGTAGAACACTTGTTTCTTTAAAATTCTGACCTTCCGTTAACGTGTCAAACTCTTGTAAATGGCACGAACAACACCATAACATTTGAAATCCAAAATCGAATAGTTCCAAAGATAATCAAAATCTCTTGTTCGTTATTCTTAAACAACACATCCCCACCTTTGCGGAGCTACCATCGCCACAATCACAATTCTGGGAACAGAACGTGTCAATAAATTCCAATTCTGTATAGATTCAGCTTTAAATACTCTAGAGTAATGCTAAATTAACCTTTTCAACAACTCAATTATCACTAAAACGCAACCGAAAGCGACACACAACATTCCCACAAAATTCCTACGGATCCAAATCCATGACAAGATCAAATCAGAATCAGAATTCCTACCTTCTTAAAATAACTTATCAACTCATTTCAACAGTCCAGACTCCAGCATAATAAAAAGCAGTAGAATTAACTATAACAAACTCAAAATAACCTCAAATTATCACACAAAGCAGCTAAATAAATTCATTCGAGATTTTTTTAAAAAAAAGCCAACAAGCCCCCAAAATATAAATATATATATATATATATATATATATATATATATATATATATATATAGCCAACAAGCAACAAGCTCCCAATATATTCTTGAACCACATCCAACCCGCATTGAACATCCACAAAAACAAAACATAACAAAACCCCATTTACAAAGAGCCAAAAACACTACAATCAAATCAAACAACAAGTCCTTCATGGATCTACAGTGATAGGGTTTTTTAAACAACACGTAACGGTCAAATTTCACTCATTCGAATTATAAGCCAATTAACTTCAAACTGAAACCCTAGATTCTACTGTCTTAAAAAAAGTACCCAGATTGTCAATCTTGCAAAAACTAAAAAAAAAGAATAAAAATAAAGACTTTGTTAGAGCATAAAGAAAAGTGTAAACAATGAGAAGTTTACCTACAGAAAGGGGAGTCCTTTCAAATGAAGAAAATTTGTATCAATCAACATGCATAATGGGTTTCATTTGTTTTCTCAAAAACCCATTAGAAACTCTGAAGAACTCTCTCTCTCTGTGTCTCTCTCTAAACTGCCCAAGTAAGCATAACTAAGAAAATCAAAAAGCAAGTGTGGGTTTGGTTAATATTTAAGTAGGAGTGTATCCTTTTTAATTGTTAACCCAAATCCTACTTTTTTATAGTAAAAACAAAGTTAACTATGGTTAAATTTTAACTCTTGATTTGGGTTCATATTAATGCATTGTGGTTCGTTAAACTTTAACTTGGGTTAATTTTTAACCTGAATTGGGTTTGCAAAATGTGGTTAAATTTGGCGAATTGTTTATGGTGATATTGCCCTTTGCAGTTAATGGCAAATTTTTGTGCAAATAGCATGGTTAGATTTTCCCTTCAATTTATAAATAGCTATACAAAATAAATGAACATAGTTAATTTTCAGGTGATATTATGCACATAACAAAACAATCTAAGTAAGAGATTTATCATACTAAGATATTATAGGAATTGATATGGCAAGTGATAATCGATGAATTATGAGTTTCAAAACTAAAATAAGATGAATTGGATTTTTTTTTTTATAACAAAAATGGAAAGATATGTAAGTTATCTAATGCTATCCAATATGGAATATTGCACTCACATCATACTATTTTATAATTTAAAAGACTTTTATTATATTGTTTTCGAGATCAAAGTTTAAGGTTTTTAAAAAAAAATAAGTACAATCATATATAAAAATGTAATACGTTACCAATTATAAATTATTATAGGTGAAATTTAAGTCTGTTAATCTCTTAAGTAAGCGTTCTATGAAAAACTTACTTATTTCTACATCTAATATGTTGTTAACATAAATTATATATATTCATAAAAGATGATTATAATATCAATTAACACAAAAAAAAAATGATAATCCATTTGTTTTTTAATGTTACAATAAAAATTATTTTAGAACTAGCTTATGCATTGATCAAAATTAATTTTTTTTTAGACGATTTTAAGGACACAACTCTTATGTCGACTTGATACATACTTTCAGAGAAATTTAATAATTTTTTTTTAAATTTTGATCCTTAAGTTTAAATCTAAAAAGTCAAAAAATTGAACATACTTCCTTAATCACCAAACCAACCTTTTGAAATTATTTATTTATTTATTTGTATGTACACTAGAGGATAGCTACGTCATTTCAGTGAATGGTCATACCATCCACCTTAGTTTGCAGATCCAACATTTTATAATGAAAATAAGTTAACTAGGGTTAAATTTTAACTCTTGAACAGGGTTTGCATTGGCAAAGCAATGTCCTTCGTTAACTAGGGTCTAGGGTTAACTTTTAACTTGAGTTGCAACAAGTTTGGTGAAATGTTTATGGTGAATTGCTCGTCAAAATTAATTGCAAATGTTGCACATATATAATTTTTTT